ACTACTCATGGAGGCGCCGACGGTGTTCGAGCCTGCGTATCTGGAGGTGCAGCCTTTGTCTGTGGAGGATCCCCTTTCAAATTTGACAACCCAAGGTTTCTCCATTCGTCGCGATCCATTAGACCCCTTTCACCCCACAAATGAGAAAAGCTGGAAACGTGAGAGTGCTGCACACGCACCGGCTCATGCGACACTCGAGATAGTCCCTGTTGAGGTTTCTGCACGGTGTTGAGTTGCTGGAGTTCTTACGCAAGCAGTCCAGATACAATTTCATATATTCTGTGCACTCTCCTAGGACGTACAAGTCAGCACCTCGCAGTGTGTAATGGCATCAAGACACTGACCATCGTGGTCGAGAGGAAAAGATCCCCGGTCCTTGGCAGCAGACAGCGTCAACTAGCTCCGGCATCGAGTCTGAGAGAAAGAACACGAGCGTACTGGTGGTGAGACGGAGAATCCTGTAGAGATTGACGGTGGTCTCCCAAAAGACATGGTGTTGAGGACGGAGAAGAAAGAGATGGGAAGAAGCGCGGAGCAGTGGAGAGTCACGAGCCAATCAGGGACAACAACGAAGCGCATACCAAATCGGGACAATTCAAGTTAGAACCAGAGGGAATTCGGAATTCGACAATTCGGAATTCGGTTGTACGGTATATAGCAGAGCTCGTAATCATATCAATCCCTTTCCCTTCTGCACATCTTTCCCGTTATCCTCCTCACTCGTTGTCGTATTCATGCTCGTATCTGGGTCTCTCAGAGACGAAGTCGATGGCTCTGACTCGGGCGCAGAGCCGCCAAACCGTTTGCTTTTCAGCATAACTATCTCTTTTAGCCATCCGTTCTCTCGTCTCAGCTCCGCTGCCTCTCGCTCCAACTCTTCCACGCGTCCGGAAAGGTCTGTGATAGATCGTTCGAGGTTCAACGTCCACTGCTTTTTCTTGACCCGGAAACGCGCTGTGTCAAGACAGAGGGTCAGCAAAGAAGTGATATTGCAGGCGTGTGCAGGTCCTCACCTGACGCAGCTGTATTCCTTTTGCGCTTCTCCTCTGTAATGACGGTAGGATCCTCGTCGCCGCCTTCTCCGGCCTCCGGCGAGGGTGTGCTCATGGGCACGCTGGCGCTACCAGATGCCTCGGGAGACGTCAGCGACACAGGATCATGCAACGAGGGTTGACGGGCATTTGACGTTGATGGTATATTGAAGATATTGGGGACAGGTACGTGCATCTGTTGCTGCGGTTGTTGGGGGGTTTGGGGGGAAGGCTGCAGCGGAGGAGGTTGCGCCGTTTGTTGTTGCTGCAGTTGCATCTGCAATTGCATGTACTGCAGCCAAGCCATGAATGTTTGTGATATGAGAGGGTTGGACATCTGCTCGTTTTGCAAGTGTTGGGGAGCTGGCGGTGGTGGCATGGAGGGCGGATGGGCGAATGGGAAGGGAGGTTGGACTTGTGTGCCGTGCTGATCGTCTGACATGGAAAGTATTGATCTGAACAGTGCGTCGTCCTCGTAGTCGGAACCTAGCGGCGGGAAACCAGAGGGGAAGTTCGTTCCTGAATACGAATGGAAGAATTCGAAGGGATCTAGTGGCTAGTAAGGTTCAAGTTAGGAGGCGTCGACGCAGCGATATATTCCGAGGGACTGCGCTCCTACCCTGTGACTGGGCCCAGGAATAGGACTGGGGACTGGCTGACTATAAGACCTGGTTCGCCGGTGGGTTGACGGTTCGTTGATGTTTTGGCTGGGTCCCGTTAGGGTTGGGTTACGGTGATCCATTGACGGAGAAGATGTACCGCGCAGGAGATATACCGCCGAGAGGATGTTCCAGCGCGTGGTGGAAGTGGTATGTCCTCGAAGACACTGAGGGCACTTCCCATTCATCAACGCAACTCATACTTCTGATAGCGATACCTGTATCAATTTCCAATATGGTATTGCAATTTCCGACCGTCCCCCTACAACTTTACGTTGTTTTCAAATAGAAGTGGAATGTCGTGCTGAACGCGGAAGGAGCCTGTTGAGTTGCGCAAAGTAACATTCAACGTGCGCAATACCCGCGTAGTATGGCGACAGCCTCGGTTAACCGCGGTCTCTCTTCAAATCACTTTCCTCCTCTCTACTCTGTGAATATCTTTCCTCCACTATTTGTAAATATATCATCCAAATATTAATTTGTTAAAAAGGCAATAACCGATATATACTGTACATGCTGCTTAGTCAGCACCCATTACTGCAGACACGCGTCAGCTTGCCAGTGACGTCTGCTACAACACTACCACCACATAGTCCACTTGCAGCAGTTCTCTTTTATCAAAATGGTATGTCCTTGTCAAGTACATAACATTCACTCTAAATAATCCTTGCAGGTCGTCAGAATCAGGTCCAAGGACGGCAACTTTCGATTCAACCTAGCTCCGTCTGCAGACATATCTGAGCTCGTAACAAAGGTGTGCTCGCCATAGCTCTTCCGTCTGGTCTCATACCAACTATCCCATTTGCAGATTCTAGAGACGACAACAGATGCTGACCCCGAGACTCTGACCATCTCCGACCAGCCGCGGGGGAACGAACAACTTGTGTCTGCCCTGAAGGGAAGGTCCCTCGAGTCGTTGGGCATCAAGTGCGTATCTCTCACAACACTGACTGCATTCACTCACCATTCCAAAAAGACATGGCGATCTGTATTTTGTGGCCTATCAGTCACGGCCGAGTCCCAGTACATCTACCCCGCAAGTCCAAGCCCCCGCAAGTAGCGCATCAACAGAGCCTACAGGCAAGCGCGCCTGGGAGCTTGCGCAGGAAGATCCCGTGGACGGCTATTGGCGTTCGCATGAGGGGAAGGGGAAAATTCCTCGTGGCCGGGACTCACGTCTCTGCCACCATGGGCCTAACGCCATGTGCGACCACTGCATGCCCCTAGAACCCTATGAAGCAGCCTACCACGCCGAGCACAACATCAAGCATCTCTCTTATCATGCGTATCTCAGGAAACTTGCACCCAAGGGATCCGCTGCCACCACCACTGCAGCCGTCCTCCCACCACTCGAACAGCTCAGTTACAAGGTAAAAGTACCTTGTCCTACAAGCTCCCACCCGGCATGGCCTGCAGGTATCTGCACAGCATGTCAGCCCTCGGCTATTACGCTGCAAAGCCAGCCTTTCCGTATGGTCGACCATCTCGAGATCGCGTCCATGGATATCATAGATCGGTTTCTACAAGCGTGGCGCAAGACAGGTCTGCAGCGTTTTGGATGGCTCATTGGAAGGTATGAGCCTTACGATAAGGTACCCATGGGAGTGAAAGCGGTGGTGGAAGCTATTCATGAACCCCCTCAAGAGGGTGAGCTTGACGGGCTTTCGTTGGGGATCCCATGGGAAGATGAGCCGCGAATTCGGGAGTTGGCCAAGCACGCGTCGTCGCCCCTGGCAATTGTTGGATATATATTCACAGATCTCGAACCTACACCCGAGGACCGGTCCAAGACGTTGTACAAGCGTCATCCTCAATCGTTCTTCTTATCCTCGTTGGAAGCGATCTTTGCGGCGCGAGTCCAGCTAGACAACCCTACCCCATCGCGGTCTTCTCCCACCGGCTTGTTCGCTTCGCGTATGGTCACAGCCGTACTGACCGGTACGGAAGACGGTGCGATTGACGTGAACGCGTACCAGGTGTCGGAACAGGCAGTTGCAATGGTCGAGACCGATATGATTGAAGCTAGCGTGGACCCGGGGATAGTCAGAGTGAAAGACGAAGACAGGAGTCAAGATGCCGCGAGGTATGTTCCGGATGTGTTCTTCCGGTACAAGAACGAGTATGGATTGGAAGTCAAGAAGAGCGCGAAGCCGTGTTTCCCGGTAGAATATTTGATGGTTAACGTAAGTCCCTCCATCTCGGTCGGCACCCCACCCAAATTGTAAAAATCAATAAAAACTCCAAACCTCGTGGTTTGCTAGGTCTCGCATGGTTTCCCGCAAAACCCGTCGCCCCTCTTCCGCTCATCGAAATTCAACATCGAGAACCGTCCTGGGTTGGAAGACCAGCGGATCGAGGGCGTGATGCGAGAGCTCTCGCGTTTGAAAGCGCCCGACATCCATCCTAGCTTCCATGGCGGAGATCCCCAGCAGCGCGCGGAGCTGGCGAATTGGCTCAGTGATTGGCACCTTATTGCGTTCCTTGGAACCACACAGTTGATTTCTCAGGTCAGTGCTGCATTCTCCCTCTGAAGCGGTCGGTAACTGACTTCTGTATTTTATTTTTGAATTTTCCTTTTCTTCGTTTCTTTCAAATATCTCCAGGAAGATATGAAGGTGCTACTCCGAGTCGGCTCTTCTCCCAATTTGGACGATCCGACCGCACTGGACGAGCTCCTCCAAACAGAGAGTTGGCAAACCCTCCTGACCTTTGCGCGTGAAATGGCCCGTAAGTCACTCCCTTTTCCTACTCTCCGCTTTCAATACCATCGAACTAACATGGCGATCTCTTTTGCAAAAAAAAAAAAAATTAGCTTCAGCACGCCCGACGTCCTCTGCACCGGCTCCTGGCGGACCCGCACGGATGGACGAGGATATCCCACATGAACTTTACGACCAGTTTGCGCGAGAGGAGGCTGCAGGTGGGGGAGGGGGCGGGAACATCAGGATATGCCCGCATTGTACGTTTGAGAATACGCATGGCGGCAGTGATTGTGAGGTCTGCGGGCTGCCATTGTAATCAAATATAAGCTGTACCATCTTGACGATCTATATGCACTATGTGCGACAAAAAGATCTTGCTCTTCCGAGTCGTGCGGCACGTACCTTCACACTTGCTACCTCAGCTAGACTACCTCAACACGGGGTTTAAACATCCTGCGGTTTGTTTTGTAGCTGGTTGCGCAGCTCAATCCATTTTCATTGCAGCTATGCCATATGTGCGGTGTCGGCCTTGTGACAACTTAGTACTTACATCATCAAGTTACATGACGTGCAAAAACAAAAAAAAAAGAGGTTTGAGCAGCCTGTTAAGGCGCTACCAGGGCTCGAACCTGGGTTTTGGGAATTTGAAGATCAGAATCCCAAGTGATAACCACTACACTATAGCGCCGTTTCCCGAAATTTTCACATGAGCTGACTCAGTTTCTCGAGGATCAAGAAGCCAGCCAGTAAATTACTTTTCAACACTGAACAGGTGCTACCCACGATCCCATTTCGAACTTAGGGCTAAATATTCTCTTTTACGGGAGGTAGCTCCCAAGCACCAGGACCAAAATGTGGAATGACTACCGTGTGACCTTCCTTCGTCCGTATCGGCTTTGAGAACGTGCACAGAGTTTTGCCAAGGCTTGACAGCCACGCAGCATTAACGACAGTGAGACCTACAAATTTGAGAGATGAAACATTAGCTCGACGTGCTGCGGAGAGTCCTAAATCTAAGCTACCTTTGATCCACACTTTGGAGGTTCGAACAACCTCAAGGTATACGACAAAGTCTGGAGGTGGCTTGTTTGCTAAGACGGACGAGGGATGAATGAAGACATCTTCGTCAATCCCCAAGGCTCGATATGGCACCCCTCGTGCGGTTGTAAACTGTTGTCCCGATGACGCGTCTTGAGATACCTTGTCCTTACGCACAGCAACCTGGTCGATAAAGCCTGCTGCGAGTAGCTGCCGTAGCACCTTCATCTAGGATTATAAACGGCAGTGAGCTATGTTCCAGCGTAGTAAACCTATGCAAGTGTACCTGGAGTGCGGTTGGAGGCCGCAAGTTGGCCACAAGCCCCGCATCTGAATCTGGGAAATTGGTCTGGACGATACTGCTGAGCTGTGCTCGTAACTTGTGGATTTCCTCCATAGCCTAGAACAATATTAGCACAGACCGCAGACTAAAGCGTTGTAATATCGGGATACCTTGGGTCGTACAAAATGTTCTGTGCAGAATTTATGCCCGCCGCCAGCATATTCGTATGCACCTACTACAGATAATACCCGGAAGACATCGCTAGCGTGGTCTCCCAGAGACGAATGCGTCTACAAGGGATGCAGGCGTTGTTTAGGAACGGACGAACCAAATGGAAAGAAAGATTGGACACGAACCTGCTGAGATTGGAAAAACGCCTTACGCTGCAGTCTGCGAGCTGCTTTCGCCCTGACTGTTTCGCTTGTAAGATGGGACAAATCTTCATCTTCATCATCGAACGAGTCATTTCCCTGGTCCAGTGCCTCCTCTCGTAAGAAAGGGTCACCCACAGACAGTGCTGATACAATTGTGACCACATACGGCAGACAACCGTGTTGTCGCCCACTGACCAACATCCTAGAGAAACGGGGAGACAAAGGGAAGAGAGACATCGCTTTGCCTATGTCGGTGATATTACCACTGACCATAGGCGTTCCTGGTTCACTGGATGTCAGGGCTCCCAGGTGTGTAAGAATAACCTCAGCCTTGCGTAGGCTCAATCGATCCGGAGGTGTCGGGAACGGAAAGTTGGTAACTGCGTCAATATGCATGCTCTTCATTTGTAGAACCACGCCTTCGATTGGCATCCGAAGGATCTCTGGCTGCGAGAACTGCTCGAAGTACGTCTCAAATAATGCCGAGGAATATAGTCGATAGCAATGGCCGGGGCCTGTTCGACCGGCACGTCCAGCACGCTGGGCGGCAGATGCCTTCGATATCCAACTAACCTTAAAGGTTTGAATACCATTGACGACGTCGTAGTGTCTCTGTCGCCGACGTTGGTCATGCGTTCGTAAAGTATAGTGGGCAGCGACGTACCTCTTTCGCTCGTCCGCAATCGATGACGTATCTTACGCCAGGGATTGTCAGAGAGGTTTCCGCTACGTTAGTTGAAACGACTACAAGGCGGGCTCCGGGTGGTGGGGGCTTGAACACTAGCATTTGTTTCTCGCTTGGTAGCAATGCATATAAGGGTACGATGTGCATAGGCGCTGCCGACGTGAGGGTGTCTGATTAAAAAATAAGGTAAACTAGATGAAAAGACGCACGAACCATCAGATTCTTCAGTATCGATGCCGAGTTCCTGATCGTTCAAGTCGTCGTCACTGTCCAGAGCTTCATCATCGAAATCGGCGTTATCTCCGTCAACGTCCAATGCCAGGTCCATCTGATCCCCACCAAGGTCCATATCTTCGGCTTCCACATCGGCTGTAATAGACGTTAGCTCTGGGGCCACCAGTGCGTAATATTCATATACCTTGTGCAGGCGCGACATTAACTCTCCCACGTGAATCTTCCTCGGCAGATTGAGTGCGAGCAGCTGCGGCATTCCGTCGTCTCTTCCTCTCTTCCAACGCTTTAAGGCCATATTTAGCCTCTAGCTTCTTGCAAGTTCCCGATATCTCATTTTGCCCGGTGAGAAAAATGAGGATACCGCCAGGCGGCAACCGAGCATGAATCTTACTGGCTTTGCGAATAGCTTCGCTTACGTAGTCAGATGTTGTTCTCCGGTTGAAGTGAACGGTCACAGGATGCTGACGAGCGGGAACATTGATCACAGGCGGAGGTGACGGGAATAGTGCCACATTCTCAGCGAAATCAGATACTCGAAGGGTGGCAGACATGATAATGAGACGCAGGGGCTAAGGGAAAGGAGTTCAGGAGTATATATCGCAGTTACACGACAAACCGCACCTTCGCATTGTCCTTTTTCTGGGACCATAGTTCCTCCCTGAGCTTGACGACTCTGCTCAACACACCAATAAGAATATCCGTATTCATGCTCCTCTCATGAGCTTCATCGATAATGATGACAGAATACTTCGTGAGTAAGAAATCCGTTGCTAGTTCGCGGAGGAGGACACCATCCGTCATGAACTTGATTGACGTGTCGGATGACACAGTGGCGTCGTAACGAATCTGATAAGATATTTTAGACGAGGTGAGGGAAAGTTCTTGGGCGACACGGGAAGCCATAGACATGGCAGCAACACGACGAGGCTGTGTAACACCGATGATTCCCGGATTATCTGCAAGGAAGCTTCAGAGGTGTCAAAGCAAAAATGAAATTGACAGAATTCACCACTTCCTGGCAAGCCAAAGCCCGCTTCATATAAGAACTGTGGAACTTGAGTGGTCTTTCCGCTGCCGGTCTCACCACAGATGACAATGACACTGTTGAGTAGGATAGCTTCCATGATTGGTTGCTCCTCGGCGACTATGGGTAGTAGTAGCCTGGCAGCTTCGACTTCTGGGGGTCTCGTAATATCGACGACCCTATTGCGCCGTATGTCTTTATCAGCTGGCGTCGAGTCTTGCAAATGCTTTGCAAAAGATGTGTTGGGGAGCACCAATTCTTTTCCAAGGGGACCGCGCATTTCAGTCGGTTTTGTAGTATCAAGTTTCCGCTTCTTGGCAGGTAGAGGAATTGATTGAGGTTCTTCAGATTCAAGTGGCTCGGCTTCCAGGGATGCCACGTAACCTTTCGCAGCACTTAATTGCTTTACAGCCCATTCCTTGAAACCAAACCGCTTTCTTCCCGTAGGCTCTTCTTCGGGCTCTGAAACATCATCACCGCCGCTTCCCATATCCTCGTCCCCTTCCGAACTAGACGCAGACTCATCATCATCATCACCATCGTCCGCGGAGTCCGAGCTATCAAAAGAGGTATCGGACTGGATGTCCACTTCGTTTGATTTCGCGGACTTGTCCTTCCATGATGAGAAAACCTTCGAAATACCAGAGAGTCAGATATCAGAGAGCATAAACGATGGACCGATTTACTAATGTCTTCTTCTTTCTCGCCACTATGCGAGGTGCAACCACACTACCGTCGGCATTTCGTTGGAGAGCGCCCCCGACTGTAGCAGTAGGTCGCTGCGGCGGTGTCGTGAAGGATACAGAGTCGATGACAACAACCTCTTTGGGCCTTATTGTGCCCGAATCATGGCGTAACGTTGGTTCGGCCCTTGGAGCATTGCCGCTTGCCCCATCTTCTCCCCCAAAGGTATCCTCCTCGTCGTCGCTTTCGTATACCGCATAAGCGTCCCGCTTTCTCTTGCCAGTGCGGATGGATCCATCCATGATTCGCTTGACTTCGTGGTGTTCTTCCCTCTCGAGACGCTCCAGATGTGTCATTGTTTTTCCTGTGCCAAGAGTAGCAGAAGAGTGCAGATTGAGCGTGTTTGGGAGTTCAGCCTGGCTCTTCCTTGAACGATTATATGTCATAGTCGACCATGTATGAGATTGAGGCGACGTACAAAAGTTTCTCAAACAGAACGATGCGCTCTTCCTGTTTCAATTTCTTATCCTAGTATATGATAAAATGTGAGCATCGGTTCAAACTCGACGAAGAGATATGGGACAGACGATGTACTTCTCCAGCCTCTTTTTCTTCTTACTGTTCATCTTGGAATCGGCCCGGGCAGCCAACTGGACGCACCATCTGAATTAATCCCCGGCACTCGTGAGTTATGTGACTGGCACTTACCTCTTGCCTAAGTCGTTCTCGTCTGTCCAATTCCTTCTGTGCTTCAGACTTTGGAACGATGATGACAGCGTTTGGGTCATGTTCTGGGTCCAAGCTGGCTGCTCCTGTACTATGCTTGCGCTTCTTGCGTTGGCCTGCAGTGGACTGTCTTGCCTTTGCATTGTGTCGCTCCCGTCTATTCATGGTTGGGCAAAGATTGATGAGCGTCTAACACTACAAAACGCTTGATGGCAATGTTTAAAAACACGTGGCATATTGATGAATTTTCCAGAATGGGCTTGGCTTGTCGGAGTGTGAATTGTTCTCACAAGCTTCACTAAATTTCAACGCGTTCGGTTTTGCGCGCTTTGGACTCGACTGTCATGGCTGCCTCACCCGTCGTCAACGGCGTTCAAGGTCAAGAAAAGTGGAACTCCATGAAAGACAAGGATCCAGAGGCCCCGGCAGCTCTTACGAATGGCGTCGATGTCCCCAACGACACAGACATACAAGCTGACGACCATCATGTTGCTCAGCAGCCTCCGGATAATACAGACTACGCTCGAACAGGTTCTGTTGTGCCCGATGATGTTTCTGTGTCTGGCAGCAACAAGCTGGATGGTTCTAATCGTGGTGAAAAGCAAATCAAGGTGCTTGTCAGGTCTTACTTTCTGTCCGC